GGGAGGTATCAACAGATACCCCAAACCTAGACCTCTGACCGATCCGGTGAGTCCTGGAACTTTTACGAAGATGCTTCGTAGGAAGCAAACGGGCCCCGCCCACACAAACCCTAGTAACAGTACGGACTTCTGGTCGGTGCAAAGTAGACGTGTTGCCCAGCGACAGCCCCAAAACATCACTGCTCTAGAGGAGATCTGCATGGAGGAATGGGCCAAAATACCAGCAACAGTGTGTGAAAACCTTGTGAAGACTTACAGAAAACATTTGACCTCTGTCATTGCCAACAAAGGGTATATAACAAAGTATTGAGATGAACTTTTGTTATTGACCAAATACTTATTTTCCACCATAATTTGCAAATAAAGTCTTTAAAAATCCGACAGTGATTTTCTGGATCTTTTTTTCTCATTTTGTCTCATAGTTTAGGTATACCTAGAATGAAAATTACAGGCCTCTCATCTTTTTAAGTGGGAGAACTTGCACAATTGGTGGCTGACTAAATACTTTTTTGCCCCACTGTATATATAAAATGGTCTCTAAAGTTGAACTCTTATAATAAAGCCTAACAATAAATGCTAAAGCTTTTAAAAAGGAAAAGTTCACTCTTAATCATGACTGTTAAAATTGAATGCATCATAAACAATATTTTTCCTCAGAGAGCAGTCTGTGCTATAATGTGACACTGGGATATCTGCCTGCCTACAAATAGAAACATAACCTATAGCTTACTACTCTGAACCTCTAAATAAACCTTTGCACTCAGCAGAGCGTGCCTTTTGATACACGCTGGGGCCAAATGTGAATGCAGTGGCCACCTGAGGAAAAATCGAATTACATAATTCGTAAATTGGGGGTCAATTGCCTTGCAGTTTCCTGCGTGTGCCGTGCATGAGAAGCTTTTGTTGGAACAATAAGCTTTCTGAAATCACTTATTAAAAAAAGTTTGGGTAAGTAACACAAAAAGAAGTACTCCTAATTCTCCTTTGACTCCTCCGGATCCATCTGACAGACTGGGATTGTTACTGTTTATGTTACTGATCCACTTGTTATTGCCTTCAAAGCACTATCCTGCAGAGAATTGTCCTTTATCAGAAGTATTACATTAAACTGGTCCAACTGATGTTCTCATTTCAAGAAGAGCAATATTATAGGGCAGTATCTCAGAGCCCGGCCGTGTGCCAGATCTGTGAAATTAAATGGCCTTAATGAGCTTCACCTCCACCGGACTACATAGCCTCATGAGAGCTTAACTCACACCCTAAAGAACACAAGCTGAAGAACAGATGCATGAGGTCAGGACACAGTGAGTAGCATATTTTTCTGCTGTGTGAGCACCAGCACTGAGGGATAAAAAAAAAAGAGCTGCTGATGTCTGATTAGATTTGGGCTAATTCATCTGGCAGACCCTGGAAGAGCCTTCAAACAACTTACTTTCTAAAAGCCTCTCTTTGTAAAGGTAATAAGATCTGATTAAAAAACACATAGCTGAAGACTCAATTAGCTCTTACTTTGGGCAGGGTTAAAAGAATATAACGGCTTGAATCAGAATAGTTTATTTATCCCGGGGGACAATTGGGTTTCGTGACAGTAGCATTGGCACAATAAAGAAACCTTGATTGCTATGAATACTACATTCATTTTTATAAGCTTAGGGAGATCAAGGGGATGAAGACAGGATTAGTTAGTATTCCAAAGCATGTGTTATTTTCAGACAACCACTACGTTTTGAAAAGGGCAGCCTAACAACCCTGTTGTTGTTGAAAAGTCTGGACCTACGTATTGCTCATGACACTTTCCAAAACTCCAGCCTGGAAAACCACACTGTACCACAACTGCAACGTACAATAGTTGTGTCAAAGCCAAAGAAAACATGCACCCACTCCTCTGTCTGGAACGGACAAACAAGTCGCCATAACATCTCAACAGAACATGTGCATGTGCCCGTCACGTAACAACAGAGGAAACGGTTATACTGAAGCCACAGAACAAAACCTAAACAGGAAGTGAAGAGGATTTCACAGTGAGATGCGTCACAGAGCACTAGTTGACAGAAAAAAAATAACATTATCTGCTACAACACACTTGTCACCTTCACAAAGACGTTTGTCATGAAAAGCATTTCAATTAGGTTGTTTACTTGGTTGCTTAAACAAAAAGTAGTTTCTTAATATTCCCATAAATTAAAAGTACTGACATTGGGAGTCACCCAAATATAGGCCGAAAAATAGGGCCTCAACTAAAGATCTCATTACAGATTATTTTTCTGATCTATAAAATGTCAGAAAATACTGAAATAGGTCATCTGAATTCCTTAAAGTCCAAGGTTTGTCTTTAAATTACTTATTTTGTCAGTCCAGAAACATCGTAGATAATCTACATATTTAGGAAGCGCCAACAGCATTTCCTGAATGACAATTCAACTTAGAAAAGTTTAATCAATCATCAAAATAGTTAACACTAATTAATCGTCAACAAATCATGTAGCTCTGTTGACTAATGTGTCCTATGTTGGCTTAAGAGTTCATGATCCTGTGCTTACCCTTAACCCGATTTGTACTTGTATTGTATTTTAGATTGTAGTGCCTTCATCTTGTAATTATTTTAAGTAGTAAAAAGGGAAATGTTTTCCTTTTGCTTTATTTAAAGGAATTACTACATTTATGACACTGTAAAACGAACCCTTTAACATACTGTAAACTTTATAAACAACTGCACCCACAACACAGAAAAGTTGAACCAGCTGACTACAGATGTTGGGCTGCTAGCTCACAGCTACCTGCCATAAATGAGTTCATGACCCCCCCCCACACACACACCACCACCATGATGTGTGAACCAAGATGAACAAGCTGATAGCAATGTCATTTTCTCCATGTGTGTCAACTGAACCTTCTTGATACACACACATTGACAGTGGTATTCCTAATTGTTACTTAACTTTGGACTTATGATGCATTTTATGGCCCTTCCCCCAACTGTGGCACGTAAAATGGCTTCCTGGAAAAGCATATCAGCTGTCCCTTTGCGAGACCAAAGCTCGACACATAAGCTATTCTGTTGCCTTCCTATTTTACATATATACTTTTTAGTCATTAGGATTCTGACTGAAGACAGTTAGGAGTGGCACCGAGAGCAATCTGCTATAATACATTCATTATACGACGTGCGGAGGCTACAGGACAACAATCCAAAAGTTTTGGCTCGTCACTATGAAAAAAGATGAATGTTGTGGGCCTAGCATTTGTTAAATTGTGCTGTTATCGGCAGAGAAAATGCACCAAAGTATTGCTCGTTTCTTAATTGTCCATCGTTTAGAATTAACCTATAGTTAGATTTGAGAAGTGGATAACAGTTATGTGCATGATAAACAAACTGCGAGGAGCAGCTGTTTGTTCTGTTCACTCGAATATCACATAATAACCTCCGTCTCGATAAAACAAAGTACTAATTGTAATAAAACGTATGCATGTAAGGCATGTCAAACTTGGCTAAACAGAGAAAAACACAAACATTAGACGTAATGAATGACCTGTTAGCCAATATAACATGAACACAAACATGATCACTACTACTGCGGTGTTAGCCCTACATTTTGAGGACAGGAAGCCACCATACGAATAAAAAGTAACATTAGGCATTTTGATCATTCCCACAATCAATGTTTGTCGTAATCAAAACTCATAAGTAGCTACAACGTTTGACCGTTTAGCAAGAAGCTAACACGCTACCTAGAGGAATACCTGCATCTTTGCCTTAGCATAATGTTAGCGTATTAGGGCTATGCTAGCGGCTAGCTAGCTATGAAACCCTTGCAATTTTCTGCAGAATTTTAAATTAACATTCTTTAAAAATGTCAGATTACCACCGAGTACAGTTAATCACCAAATGACGTATTTTTTGATATTCGCCATCCTTACCTCTTGTCTTCCTTTTAGGCCCAAACCATTCTAGCTATTGGAAAGCTCTTTTCTCTTTGTCTTTTCCACTTCCAGTTACACGCAAAATGGACTCAGCAAAATGCTATAACAGCTAAAATAGAAAAACCGAATTGAAGCTATCCATCTTTTCCTTAAAACGCAACTGCGCATCGAGTGGAAAACTAAATAAATTCATTTTGTCTGTCGTTCATTTTATTCTTACTGAACAGAAGTAACTGATAGGTAAGGCTGCTAGCTAAGTTAAGTAGCCAGCAGGTACCACAGACAGGACTGGATGCATGGATGGCAGCAAGCGGTGCTGCCTTCACTTGCTGTCAGAAATATCTTGAGGCAACCACCTTTGTAAACATTATCGGATTGTAACATTTTTTTAATTTAGAGGAATTATTATTTTGACAGCAGACATATTATCAGTTTACTGAGTTGAAAACGCACCGATAAGGACGTTGATTTAAAGGTAGTATACAATTGTAATCTTTATTGTGACAGCGCAACGATTAATGATCTTGCTAAATCCCATATGATTGAATGCAACATTTGTGTGACGCAAAGGTTGCACTGACTTGACGGTCAGGACGGAAATCATTTTTCGACTTTATTGAACGATAATACTGTGTAAAACTATTCCTAAAGTCAAACATGATTTTAAAAGTGTAATTACACATAGAGGATATTATTCATAAACAACGCATTCATGGTAAACCTATGGATAATAGGTGGTTGTGTTACATACAAAATGTAACCCCAATATAGTTAGTTTGATTGTCAAATATATGATGGAATCTTTAAAGAAAATAATACTTTTTAACTTGTAATTCGACTTTTAAGGAACGATTTAAGACTTATTTTATGTTTAATAGATTGATATAATGTATTTATTACCATATCTATTTACTTATTTTTGTATTTAAAGTTATTGTGTTGATTTGGTAAGTAGGCTACATGTCTTAAATGTTTATACATTTCAATATTAACTTCAACAACAAAACAAATGCTGTAAATTAAGTTTTACACATACTTTTCTCCCATCCATTAATGATTACTTTGTGATGCTAAGTTTCTGCAATTACATTCAGTGTTTTGTGTGCTCTCTTCGCTGATATTTATGACTTGAGTTTAATGATCAATTTGGTCTATGTTGGATACTTATGAGTTAATTTCTTCAAAATAGCCATCAATTAACTTTTCCCCAGATTTTCTTTTTGATCAAGCACATTAAGGGATATCAACTTTTGATTATTAGCATTTTAGATTAAAAACTTCTTTGAACTTAAAGTATATCAAGATGTACACAACATATGCTAATGACCATGGCAGCGGTGTGAGGGACAGTCCTGTGGTCTGCCACGCCCAAATTCTTCATCTTCATCACCAAAGACAAAAAAAACAAAAAACAATCACAACACTTTTTATATTTTCCAAGGAGACACCGTTTATAACCACATTGCTTGGCACAGATATATATGCTGTTTTTGAAAATATAATTTGTGTAAATCAGCTAACAAAAAGACAATTTTTTGCATTTTATTCTGAAATGCATATAAGTAAAGTCATTATAATGTGTTTGTCTTAGCAAAGTAAAATATTTTACAATATCAAATTGAGCAAGGACCATAAAAAAGAAAACCAAGCCAAGTTTATTTTACAGTGAAACAAGACTTTCCAACTTCAAAACTAATTTAAAATTTAAAAGACTTTTATTTTCTATCCTTGGAAAGGTTCAATGTCTTTGGAATACCAGATACGGCATTACTTTTTTGAGGTTGTGCGGTGGCAGTTAAATTTGACGAAAAATAAACTTTAATACAAAATCACAAATTGAACACGATTATTTTCATAAATGTTCTCAGAATTAAAAATCATGTGCTAAGTAGATATAGAAACGTGGGAAAATATATCAATAAAGTAACAGGAAGAGAGATATGCATTTCGAAAAAAAAAAAAAATGTGAAAATGGCTGACACAAAATAATCAAATTGTCCTTTTTGCCTAAACTGTAAAAGCACTATTACAGCCCTAAAGGTGTCCTTTCCCTTTGGATCAAGCCAATTATGACAAGAAAGGGAGGGGAGGGGGAAAGGGAAAGGGATTCAAGTGGACAGCTTCAATTTACTTTGAGAAAAAACATTTATTCTAACATTTGTTCATTTCTTCTTTTTCTTCTTCTTTGGAGGTCCTTGATCTGAGCCGCTGCCGCTTCCTGAGTCTGAGCTGTCTGAGGATGTGGACGAGGAAGACGAAGATGAGGAAGAGCTGTCATCGTCGCTGTCCCCGCTGCTGTCGCTGTCATTTGAAGAGGAGCTGGAGGAGTCACTGCTGTCTGACGATGAGTCACTTGAGGAGCTGGCTGAATCACTGCTGCTGCCGCTACCATCTTTCACCCTGAGAGCAAGTGGCGGAGCACAAAAGGAAAACATGAATACTGTAAACAGAACAGCAAGTATTGTTATAAAAGGTCTAACACTTTTACAGTCGGGCTGTAGTTGTGCCAGTTTACAAAGGAGGAGAGAGAACCTATATAGAGTGATGTTGAAAGGCTTTTCACTTGGTTGACTGTTCTTCAGCCACACTGACATGCTTGGTTTGTCTACTTTAAAAGTGAAATGGCATGATGTCTATGACATGTTCAAATCTGCTGAATTTTTGTTAGGTCTATTATTCAAACGGAAAAAATACGGCAAAATTTAAAAAGTTGCCTTTACAAGTACTTTTTTCTTATTAAATGTTTTAAAGACTAGTGTACTCACACTTATGAAAAAGTATCTGACTAGTCTTGCCCTTTACAGCTTTATCAATGAGTTGTTTTTTAATGAATGGGGAACAACACCATTAAGCAAAACAGTCAGTGTTGAGATCTCTCACATCTCATGCCCATTCACCATCTGCCCTTCCTACCCAAACACTAGGATGGCCTGCTGAAAAGCAATTGACACAACATGACACAACATCTGAATTTATGCTGGAGCCAAACTGTCTATAGAGAAGATAAAGTCCTCACTGCTCAATTATACACCGAATACCTGTTGGTAACGTTATAGATAGACCATTTTCAGCCTGTGACTATGCAAATAATTGATGTGTGGGAGGTGGCAGAACATATGACCATCGGGAAGATGTGGAGGGACCTTAAAGTTGAAAAGGTCCATTGTAACAGCAGAGAGTTTGACGTGGCACACACAAGTGTAGCTAATGTCCTTATTAATTATCTACAGTGTTTGCATCACAGCTGTGACCAAGCAATCGTTAAAGTCATTAGTTCCACCCGCGCCTTTCTGCCACAAGTCAAAAGGCCTGTTGTGAAAAAGATCTACAAAAATGAATAATTTGGGAATGATAATGAAACACAGGGGCTGATATGCTAGGCTGGTAAAATAAAGCCTTCCCAATTAAAAGTATGGGACTTTACATACATACATATTGACATTTTGTGGTAGAAAATACAGAGATGTGAATAATACAAAAATGAATGACAGAAAGATTCCATTCAGCTGCTATATTAAGCTTTGATATTTAGGATTAGAAACAACAGACATTGTAATATGACTCAATAGGAGAAAAAAATTACTCAACTGTTTTACTGCTTGTGTTAGCAGTTTTCAGCAAACTGTCATCAATTGTCTCCACAAGAGGGAGCAGTTTCATTACACTTCTTTTAAGAATGTTCATCTAGACTTCTACAGTTTGAATCAATAGTAACGCTGCAAAGGTCATATAAAATCCACTTGATCACAGGTTCACTATGACATCCCTCCTAAAAACTCCCAGATAACCTACATTTACGTGACCAGGATTCTCACATGACTTCGGCACAATTCCAAACCACACCCTACCCACTCCGTGGCGGAGTCACACTCGCAACTCAACGAGGCTCTCTCCTGTCAGATGGAGGGAGTAAATACAGCGGCAAGCTTTGGAACAAACTCCCCTCTCTCCGCCAGAAACAGGAAATGCCATAACTGTATGTAACAACGGTTTCAAATCAGCATCTCTTGGACAAAAAATTAAATTAATAACTAAAATAAAACTCCAAACATCTTTAATTGTGTTACTTTTTTGTAAAGCTCTTTTAGTTTTGAACCTGATGTTTATAAGCTTCTTAGTTTTTGCAACAATCTTTAAATATACACAACTTTATACTAAACACAGGTATGATCCTACGTTAAAAAAATATGAGGTTATCATGAGGTTGTTAACATCGCAATTTATCAGTGAATGTTTGCAGGAACTGTTTGTAAACAGCTTGTTTCCTGACAGACACACACAGCGTTGACTCCGGTCAGGTAGGGCAGCAGGTGAAGTCAGCACCAATGCAGACTCGCTGTTTGAGGGCTTGATAACCCACTCCCTCTCTACACTCGTTGGACTACAACTCATCATGTGACCGTATCAAGCCTTGTGTGAATGACCAAAACAAATTGACCCCCCACCATCAGAAGAACTGAAGGGCTCTTGGAGTGATGCAACATTAACATGTTATTAACATAACAAGATTTACACAATAAATTGAGATACTAAACATGTATTATTAAAATGTAGAAGATTGCTACAGTATCAAAATATTTCACAAACTGTAGGTAATACTATTCAAGCATATCGTACCTCTGGGACTTGTTTCTCATCAAAAATATATATTGTCTGGAGTCAAAATATTCATCATCTCAAACTTCAGTTAAATATACATTGTACTTACTTCTTTTTCTTTTCGCTAGGCCCTTCTGTTCCAGGTCTGTAAAGAGAATAAAAGCCTTAATGAGTTGATATTATTATTATTAGTCAATACATTGAGATTGAATTGGCCTGTTACTCAAGTGATAAGAAGTAATATGTGTTGTAGTAGTTTTAACATTGGCTATGTCAATAGCTTTCATGAAAAGAGAGGCAGTGTTTATTGTGTAATGGGATTAATTTTTATAATTGACATATCTGAACATCAAAAAAAATCTTGATAATAATGTGCAGTATTCTTTTGAAGTGTTTGGCTGTAATTTAAAATGTGATCCACTAAATGGCAATATAAAGCAATAGCATTGTCCTTTGCTTATGGGTTAGTTTTAGAAAGTAGAGTAGAGATGGGGGGGTGACACAGTTCCTCCAAAGCTCGTTTCACCATTCATGTGAAGTGAATGCTTTAAAACATTTTGTAGGAGCTTGTGTTAGATTTAAGAATACAATGTTACTTATGTGGCCTAAGCATACAACATCACTGAAAGGCCTTGATTCAACTTTGAAATTGTTTTGACACTTGTGATAAACACATTAGCCAGATAAAAG